ACCAATGATATACAGTGGACGCTCAGGTTGCGAACGTGATCCGTGAGGAATGCACATTCGCAACCCACAGCGTTCGCAACCCGCAGCGGCGAGTCTGCGCATGTGCAGGTTGCGATTTGGCGCTTTTGCGCATGTGTGACCGCTGAAACCCAGAAGTAACCCGTTCTGGTACTTCCAGGTGTCGGCGGTCCACAACCCAAAAAAACGCAGCCTGAAGCGTCTGTAACCCGAGGTATGGCTGTAATGTCACACAATAACTACAATCTACAGAATTGGATTGCACGCACAGAGGACATTAAATCAAATATATGTCCTCCATTTTAGTGTGTGAATGTTTATTTAAATTGACCTCACTTGCTGTTAGTCTCAATTGCCCTCACTGGCATCAGGATGAAGCCAGATCTCACTGATTGTGTCAACTCACACGATGCATATTAATGAAGTCGAGAAACATGGTCATGCCAGACAATAAGAATTGCCCAGACTTGAGTTAATGCACGTTACATACAAATATAGTTGAGTCAGATCCTATTTTTAAAGTATTTTAAGTATTTGGCAATTATTAAATGGATATAACGTTTTCCTCCGAGATGTCTGCTGCAGTGATCTCACATGAAAATTCTGCATATTGAACTCCTGCTGGAATTACAGTTTAGATACAAATAAACAAAAGGTGTGTGGGGAGAAATTGTTAGAAAAATAGAAGGGGGAACTGCCTACTTCATGTCTGCTGATATGAATGAACACAATACGCCACCAAATGTTTCTTGTGCAAATCCCACTGAAAATAATGGATATTGCACAGGAGAAAATGTATTTATCTCCCTCCCTCCTTCAAGAGGACTAATTCTAGTGTTAGCCCCAAGAAGATGACAGTGTAGATCCCATTTTAAACTGGAGCTAGTCAGCTGCACTGGCCTCTAACAAGTGACAGACACATGAACTCTGAAAAATGTTTTGAAGGTCACATACTAAAGGTCACATACTAAAAGTGAGGTCGTCTATGCATCTGCGGGCATCTTAATGAACTGCTGCAAACCAGATATTGATGTTTAAGATGGCAAGTAACACTTTTTGGGAACCTAGCATGAGTGTATGAGAAGAGCAAGCTGGTTCATTCGCAAACGAGGCTCCTTGTTTGCATCCGATTAAATGAGACCACATTGAACGATTCCAACATTAAGGGGAAGAAACACACTACGGTTGCCGATACAAATGCAATTTACACTTTAACGTTGGTTGCATATAGTGAAGGTTACAAAGACTTGATAGTTGTAAGTGGCAATGAAGGCATAGAAGTTGTTCATCTCTGTTGTCTGGGCTTAAATAGGGGCTGAGGACTGGTTAGGCTGCAATCCCAACCACAATTATTCATGAGCAGAATATATGGAAAACAACAAGCCTTAGGGCGAAACTATGCCTGATGTTCAATACATCTTTGCTGTGTGTGTAGCGTGAATAGCATCAGATGGGAGGAGCCCCTGAAAAGAAAAAGGGATCAGATTGGGCATGGGGGGAGAATTGTTACCCTTTCCTCCATGGCCTAGAACAGCATTGGCTTTTTTGCTGCTGCATCACACTGTTGACTCATGTTAAGCTTGTGGTTCACTAAGACGCCCAGATCCTTTTCACATTTAAGAATGACATTGGCTAGAAATCAATAAGGTTACAGCGTCTGCATTTTCAGGCTATCAGACAGTTTTTTAAAAAACAGAAAGAGGTATTCAAGACCACTTCCAAGTGCCTTTTAATTAGCACTTTCACAGAATAGGGATTCTCTGTTTATTCAGCATTCATCCTAATTTGTTTGCCCAGATATTGGCTCTTTAACTCGCATGCTTCCCAATGCGTCGAAGCAAGAGTTTCCCCACACTTTCTGGTGCGTATCCCTGTCCCTTTCCTTACTGCAAAAAGACAAGACACTTTGGGGGAAGTTGCGCAAGAGCACCAAATCAACTTGAATTGTGCTGCTCAAATTTGCTGGTGTGTAACTGAATCCCAACCCGAAATAGCAACAGCCTGGAATAGCCCTCAATATGCGGTTGTGTGTGTCTGCGAGGAAGCGGGTGCCCTTTATTGAGCTTCTGAAAGCCTCTTTCCTCAAGGCAGGTTTTCAGTTGAATATGGACTAACTAGGGAGTTTGGAAATGTGTAACTAGAATGTTGAAACGGTAGCTCTGCTAGTGTTAATACCATATGTCTACTGAGCTACACAGAAGTGGAGTTGGTTTCTAGTTAGAAGTGGATTTTGCTCTCTTTGCTTAATCTTAGTGCCTTCGCCATTTACACTACTCTGAATCCTTGTAAACCGAAAGGTATGGGAAAGGGTTTTTTTTGGGGGGGAGGGGGGCGTAATCTATTAACCAGGCATAGGCCGCTTGCCAGACGTCAGAAAATTCCTAGTTGGCTGTTTCCCAGGCTCCTACTGACCCAGGGCACATCAGAAACCCAGCGGGTGTTGGCAATGAGATATTCTTAGGATTATGGTGGATACGTTAGTGGAAAGGCTTTTACCCACCCTTTCTGATATAGTTAAAATGCCATGCCCATAATGATGTGTCAGGAAATAAGGGGAACAAATGGTTTCTTAAGGAAACATGCAGCACAATCGTGAGTATATTTACTCAGAAGTAAACACATTTGCTTAAGGGGGAAACTCCCCATAGGCGCTAAGGAGGGATCCCAATGCAAATAGTAGCTTCAGAAAATATTTTCTCCCAATGCAACTACTAGTTCAGGGGTGGCCAACTCCCAAGAGACTGCGATCTACTCACAGAATTAAAAACTGCCAGTGATCTACCACCTTTTGGGGGGTTCATGTCAAAATTGTTGAGCTTTTTTCAGAAGGGAGGATATCCTCGTTTTGGGGGGAGAAGGAAAGCCCCATTTTTTGGGGGGGGGTGCAAAGTTGTTGAGCTGATTTTTGGGTGGAAGAAGGGGAACAGCCTTCCACCCTAAATGAGGATTTATAATAAAAAGTTGTACAAATAAAGTGGAAAAGAACTGGAAATCAAAACAACAACAGCAACACTATCCCCACCTATTTGACTAGGTAGGGGTCCATATCAACACAAAAACATGAGTATTGATTATTTCCTTTTCTTTTGCCTCCAACTGACATTCTAACATTCTGTGTGTTCACTCCATTGTTCTCAACCATAGACTTACCTTATAGACTTGCCTGACTTCTGGTTTCTTTAGACCCCTTTTATTTTGCCTCTCTCTATAGCCTCAGCTACCACTAGCATAGGTTCTTATCAGGCAATTTTGGGCCTCTCATTAAAATGTGTGTTGTTTTTTTTAAAAAATTCACTTCAGTTGAGCATGGGACTCTTTATCTCAGGGTCATGGGTTTGAATTCCATGTTGGGCAAAAGATGCCTTCATTGAATTGTGTTGGACTAGATGACTCGCGTGGTCCCTTCCAGCACTACAATTCTATGATTCTATGTACCAAAGAAGTACTTCACGTATGTGGAAACAGGTGGCCCAGATTCTCTTCGAAATGGATAGGCACTCAGCAATAAGAGTTCGCTGTTACAGGGAATAAGCCACAAAGCCCAAAATATTGCTTGTCAAACTAATGAGTGCTTTGCCAGATTAAAAATAAAAAAGGAGCTTTTTAAGCCTCATGATGTTATAGATTCAGTATACTAGGCTATGTGATCTTCAGAGAATGACATACCAGCATACTGCCTTAAAATACCTCTCCTAACTCTTTCATTTCCAGCTTAAGACCAAAGTGCTGCTCCAGGCAACAGAATATCAGGGCAGCCTTCTTACACCCAACAGGGATTGTGTGCTTGCTTCAGCACAAATAAACGTGGCAATATCCAGCGGCATTAACACTCCACTTTATTTCCCCATAATTGGTTATAAAGAGTTCTGCACCTACTGCTAGCATCATAAAAGCATAATTTGCAAAGGAAATGTAAACATATGACTGGAAAGAAAAGGGAAGTAATAGAGAACTGCCACTAGGCAGACATTTCATTTGCAAATCCTTGTATATTATTTATTCTGCTTTTATCCTGTTCTTCCTTAGAAGGAGATCTGGGTGGCTTGCACAGTCCCTCGCTGCCCTCTTACATCTTCCCAACAACCAGGCAAGGTAGCTTGTGCTGAGAGCTGGTGACTGGCCCAAGATCACATGGGAAGTCTAGCTGTTTTGCCTGGCTCCACCCACTTTTGCTTTTGGCCCCATCCACACTTGACGTATGGGCCCCAGAAGGTTGCCCATAAGAGACTGTGGTCCTCAGGCCACAAAAGTTTACCCACTTGTAAGACAAAACACCACTGAGTAAGAAAGGAAAACCAGCAAGGCACCAATTGCAGGGGAAGGAAGGAAGGAAGGAAGGAAGGAAGGAAGGAAGGAAGGAAGGAAGGAAGGAACAAGGGAAGGAGAGAGACTTCTGGGTGCAGGAAATATTTCTGTTGCTTTCGTTTTGAGCTCAGTGTTTTGAACTGAGTCCTTCCTCGGTGACAGCTAATTTCAGTCCAAGTCTCTTCATGATGTTGCAAAACTGGGTTCAAATTTATTTTTCTTCCTTTCTTTTCCGCTTTATCCCTGGGATAATAACACCTGATACAGCAATAACATGCTATGGCAGGGTGCCATTTCTGCACAGATATTACAATCTATGCTTGACATGGAAACAACACAAGGAGCACACGTGTGTCACCGTCCAGAAAGGTTAGCAAGTTATCACTGCGCAAAACAACTTAACATTTAGGAGCCTGGTCCATTAGCCCCAGTCAATGTGACAGTTCCAACATACACAGGGGGATTCATATAAGCAGCAACAGTTTCTTTCACATGGGTGAAGGAATGCCTCGTGTGTGCCAAAGAGAACTGAAGACTTAACTTTGCCGTCATTATAGTACAAGACTTATTAAAGTCAATGTATTGCTCCCCTGATTTTTCCGTTATCCCAGAAAAATGACCATTTCCTAAATGAAAAGTTAATGTGCTAACTATAGACCCATTGTATTATTGCTTACCTCATTGCAATGTTATATGATTCTGGATGGATGCAAGTTTGATCCAAAGGATTTGGCCGTCGAATGATGTTTATTGCCGCTTTGGTTTTCTTCTTACCCTGCTTCTCGTTTGCAGCTACTTTATGACCCTCAGCTGCAAGATCACCCTGCTGACTGATGTCCAAAATAATGGAAGAGAAATGTGGAGTTGCCGTTAAAAAAGAGCGTCCCTGAAAAGAGTGTTTACCTCCCCCTGTGCTAGCACTACAAGGGGCCAAGGAAATGTGATCTTATGAGTGAAAGCGAATTTCATAATTAACAAACCTTTGGAAATCCTGTCCAAAGGAAACCCACAAATGTCCTAATCGCATGGCGGCTATTATGTTAGCCTCACTTGAAAGATGTCTGGTGCAAACCTGGGCAGAAACATCTTTTTAGGGGAAGTCCCAGTGGGTGAGAGCATGCTTTGAAGGTACAGAATGTCTGAGGTTCAATCTACAGCTAAAGGACTGTACCTAGGTGGGGGAAACACTGCTTTGTTCAACCCTAAGCACCTCCAGGTAGGACCGAGGAAGACCTCTCTCTGAAACCTTGGAGAGCTGCCATCAGTTTTGTAGACACTAATGAGTTGCACAGACCAGTGGTCTTAGTCCTATGTTCGTTAAACAAGTTTTAAGGACTGGGAAGCCCTCCACCTAAGTCCTGAAGAACCACTTCTAGCCGGAGTAAAGGTGAAAGCAAAGGACCCCTGGACGGTTAAATCCAGTCAAAGGTGACGATGGGGTTGCGGCGCTCATCTTGCTTTCAGGTCAAGGGAGCCGGAGTTTGTCCACAGACAGCTTTCTGGGTCATATGGCCAGCATGACGAGACCGCTTCTGGCGCAACAAAACAACACCGTGACGGAAACCAGAGCACACGGAAACTCCATTTACCTTCCCACCACAGCAGTACCTATTTAGCTTGCACTGGTGTGCTTTCAAACTGCTAGGTTGGCAGGAGCTGGGACAGAGCAATGGGAGCTCACCCCATCTAGCCGGAGTAGTCATTATTGGGCTGGTGGGCAAAGGACCTCTAAGAGGACAAGTCAGCTTCATATATTTTTAGCAAGTCTTCTAGATTTACTTATTTATTCACCCATTTCTAATATGCATTTTCATTTAAATATATCAAAGTGGTATACAACATATAAGAATAAAATCAGCAGAAAGCATTCATAAAAACACAAGTAAATACTGATTGGTGAAAAAGAGAAAATCTACCCAGCAGAGGCCTGTCTAAACAAACAGTTTGCAAAAGACACCTTAAAGATGAGAGGAGTGGTTCCTGCTGAGCCTCTATTGGTAAGGAGTTCCTAGTCAATGCCAACCAAACCTCAGTGGTGTAGAGAACCACCAGAAATCCCCTATCAGAGGATCTCAGTGATCGAGTTGGAGCATAAGGTATCAGATGGTCCTTAAGGTGGAGAACTTTAGCCCAGTTGGCGTTTGTATTAGACATGAATGGATTTTATAGATGTGCTGTTGTTGATTTAAAACTGTGTGTGTTTATATATATCATTGTGTTAGGCGTTTTTACAAATATATATACTTTATTACATTGTAAATCACTTTGGGATGACTCATGGAAGTGATTCATACATGAAATTCGTAATAATATGTTTTCTTGCACTTCCTCAAGCAGTCCTTTCCCAGGAGGTCCTTAGCCCAAATGGCTCTGGGTTTTGTACCATTCCTTGATACTTAGGGAACATTGGAAACTGCTTCATGCCAAGTTAAGAGCTTTTGCCTGTCTGGTGCAGAATCGTCTACACTGATTGGCAGAGCCTCTTCAGGGTTTCAAGCCAGGGCTATCTCAGCCCTACCTAGAGATGTTGGGGACTGAACCTGGGACCTTCTGCATGCAAAGCACTATTGCAGCTCTTTTGGTTGGTCAAAATCTTTCCTTTCCACACATTTCTTTTTGAGTCAAATTGTTGACTTTTTGACTTGATGGTTTGAACAGTTGTTTTAGGGTGTTCTGGGAGCTTTTTGCCCAAAACAATGGCACAGAAAAGCTTGGCTTACTTGAAGAGAAATGTGTTTGATGGCACCTTGAGATTGACTATTAATCATCTTTTTTAAAAAATTATGAAATGGCATGAGCTTTTTTTAGGTGGTTATCTACTACTTCAGATGCTAAGCTGCAATTTGTGTCTGAAGAAGCAGGTTGTGACCTATTAAACCTCATGATATTTTGTAATTTAAAAAATTAACGAACTGTTAATTAAGGTAATGTCCAGCCAAACAGATATTTCTTCATGATGAAAGACAAACATAGTTTTCCTATCGCAGCACTTGATTTTATTTCCTTACTATTACTTTGCTACAATGAATGGGTGTGCAGCTATTTCCAACTTGCATCCTTACTTAATTTTTATGGCTTCTCACACGAGATACAAGTCCAGTCTGAGGTTGGCAGACATGACTGCGTATATTAAACACATGTGTATCAGTTTGTGGGCCAAAGTATATAGCGCGGGCCTGGCAGTCCATTCTCCTGCAGAGACTACTCAAGTTGCTCCTCTAACATAGATATGGGCTCATAACACAGACCGTTCCATCTATAGCGGGTTGATGCAACAAGCTCAAAGGTTTTAACATCTAATCTGTGCACTTTGAAGTTGGCCTTCAAAGTATCTTCATGTCTGAGGGTGGGGTCAGCCTTTGGAGTGAGCCCCAATGCTCAGCTCCAGACCAAGTTCAGCCGAGTTGCTATTGCATTACAGCACTACTTAAAATTTAATTGAACTTTCGTTTGGGGTTTCTTCCATTGGAAGGGATGGGGAAGTTTTATTATGACACACAGTTCCAATTTGCCAGAGAATGTCTGCAGCTGCCAAGATCAAAATAGCGTTAGAAGGACAGAGAAAGACCCAGGCGGCAGGGCCAACAGCCAGAGATTATGAGAGTTGTAATCCAGCAATATTTGATGGGTCACATGTTCCCCATACCTTCTCCAGCCCCTATGCCATATTGTCATTCTATAAAACATTGGCATACTAGTAACATGGCAGTTTCAAAAGAAAGCAGGTTACCCTCTCTCAGGGCCATGGGAAAAGACGACTTCCAACTTACTGTCTTCCTTTTAATTTGTTTTACTAAGCTTCTGCCTCCCGTTGGAAGATGAGTGATTCTCTACATTCATTTAAACAAGTAGGTGGCAAAGTAATAACTGTAACCTGTTGTCCACATCACACCTTAATACATTACCTGCAGTGAGTTCTGATGTGCTCCTGGTTAATCCTGATAAAGCCAGCACATTGCTGAAAGGATTTTGGACCCAGTCCTTTAACATCCTTGAGCTGCTCCCGATTAATGAACACTCCATTCTTCTCTCGCCATTCAACTATATTTTTAGCCCTGTTGGCATTCAGTCCTGCAATATGTCTAAGAAGGACGGAGGGAAGAAGGTACCCACACATCAGTGTAAGCATTGAATCACCTGTGTAAGTATTAAGCAATGACTAATGCAAAGGCACAATGTGAATTCTGTTTGTTGTGCAGATGTCAGGGACTGGCTGGACGACAAAGGAGTGGGAGGAGGCCACCAGCCGGGGAAATCCCAGAGAAGTAAGGCTTGGAGCCTGGGGGTTGGTGGTGAGACACTGAAGAGAGGTTGGAGGTGGTGGGGAGATTGGGAGGAGGCGCTGGATACTGAAGGTACAACAGGGCTTAGTGAGCAGGAGGAACCAATGGCAGGGAGCAGTTCAGATTCCAGGGCTGAAGCGGGGGTGGAGGGGAGGAAGAGACTGCTGAAAAATCCTGGGAATCTCCCTTTCTGGATGTGACAAGCTCCCCTTTGGTTTCCAAGAATGCACAGGAGGGCAGAACAGAGACCTGCATTTGTTCAAAATAAAAATGGCCAGTTAAAGAGTGTGTGTGTGTGTGTGTGTGTGTGTGCGCAAAAATCATGTTTACCATAGTGGGAAGTTTGGCTCTATGTGAGAAAATAAATGAGCCACAATAATAATAATAAATAATAAAATTTTATTTATACCCCACCTTCCCCAGGGACAATATGTGAAGCGAAAACAGATTCTCCCTCCAAATGCAGGAATCAACATGGAAAGTGAGCAAACCCACCACCCTGTTGCTGTTGGCATCCATGTGTCTCAAGAGACGATGGAGTGCACCTCCAGGGATGAAGTCAAACAGCTGCATTAGCATCACCAAAGCGACCTCTCCAGGGCGCAAGCCTGGACAGTGAGCATGGGGGTCCTGGACTGCCCAGATGGCAAGACCCTCCTCTCGGCCTCACTAATGTGGTCCAAAGGAAAGCAGAGCAATACGTTTGGCACCAGCTTAGCTGCAGCAATTGTTGGAAGGAGGCCATACGAGGAGCCATCCAACTGACTTAGGGACTCCACTCTGGATTTGTGTAGTGTTTACTCCTTAGCCTTTTGTACTCCTGAAGATGTCCCGCAAGGCAGTGGATATAAACCCAACCCTATTGTGGTATGCAGAATAAGGGATGTGGTAATGACTGTGGTCAGTGGGCTTGGGAAAAGGCTCAGAACTTTATTTTCCTCTGTGTATTGTTAAAACAGTGACCCTTTAGCTAGACACAGGGTTGATATTAAACTAAGGTATCAGAGTAGACCCAATGAAACAAAATAAGCACATCCGTTTCAGTTCTACTCTCTCAATATGTCTTACAGGCTTAAGGCCTCTCAGAACGCAAGGGGAAACTGTTCATGAAAGGAGAGTTGCACCCACAGAAGAAGAGAACAACAAACATTCTGTGGACAACAGACCCTTTCTCTCTTAAAAGTTAAACGTGAGGATTCAAGCCACTGGTCTCATTTGGGAGCCATGGCAGATTTGAACCTCTGAACCCATTTGATCCAACTCCATGTGGTTATTGAAACACACAAGTCTTCCAAGCTCACCTTAATAATATTTCTGAGCAGATGTTAATATCAACTCCGACAAAGCTGACACATTCCTCCACCACGCTGTCTAGGGTTGCTTTGAGCAGGGTCTGAGATACGTCATGCTGCAAGATTTGGGGGTGCAAGGGAGAGGGGAGAGACAAAAAAAAATATTCCAACAATAACTGAGCAATATCGGATTACTGAAATACGGAAACCACACAGAAATGAGAATTCCAGAGAATGGCAATTTTAATAAAACATTTGCTGGTATAATATCAACACGTGAAAGAGCCCAGGAGATGCACATCTGATGTACTGCCACTGCTCGTACTGCAGAGCTAGCGTTATTCCCTTGAATTTATTTTCAAGCTGTCCTTTCCTTTTAAAAACAGTTTGCGAGAACTCCAGATAGGAGCTATGCACATGACAGACAGCCTATCCTATTTCTTCTCAAAACAAAGACCCATTACTGGGCAAGCACTTGCGTGTTTTTCCTCTAAAAATGATATAATGGAAATGAAGAAAGAAGGAATCATTGCAAGAAGGAATTACTGCAATGTACTGGTCTTACTTATGCATACCCCCTCCAAATTTGCTACATACTTGGGTAGCAAAATACTTAGTAGATTATTCATTGCAAAACCTGCCAATAAATAATAATCTGCATCCTGATCCAACGAATGGCTGTACATGTGCTTGGGTGGCTGCAAGGGGAATTGTATGTGATACACAAATTATTCCCAGCTAGATCAAGCAGCTGGAGCAACTTTGGGGAAGGAGGAATTGAGGATCGGATGCAGCCTGACAGGTGTGGTTCCAGCTTCTTTAAAGGGGTTGGGCCCTTTAAAGAAGTTCCACATGATGTTGTGCATGTATAATGCCAGATTGGGATGTTGCCCTTTAGTTAATCAACCTATTACTTTTAAATAACTCTGCATATCATCAACCTATTACTTTTAAATAACTCTGCATATCATCAGGACCACAATACAGATACTTCTTTGTCCTACGGAAGGAAGTAAAGGTAAAGGTAAAGGTAAAGGGACCCTTGAGCATTAGGTCCAGTCATGGCCGACTCTGGGGTTGCGTAGCTCATCTCGCTTTATTGGCTGAGGGAGCCGGCATACAGCTTCTGGGTCATGTGGCCAGCATGACTAAGCCGCTTCTGGCAAACCAGAGCAGCGCACGGAAACGCCGTTTACCTTCCCACCAGAGCGGTACCTATTTATCTACTTGCACTCTGACGTGCTTTTGAACTGCTAGGTTGGCAGGAGCAGGGACCGAGGAACGGGAGTTCACCCCGTCGTGGGGATTCAAACCGCCAACCTTCTGATCGGCAAGTCCTAGGCTCTGTAGTTTAACCCACAGTGCCACCCACGTCCCTATGGAAGGAAGTAGGAGACACCATTTAGGAACACAGGGAGTCAAACCACTGGTCTATCTAGCTCAGTATTGTCTCTACACTGACGGGCAGGAGCTCTCCAGGATTATCAGATGAGGGACACTCCGAGCCCTGCCTGGAAGTGCCAAGGACTGAAATTGGGTTGGGCACATGCTCAATCACTGAGCTATGGCATCTCCCCATGTAATAATAATAATAATGATGATGATGGTGATGAAGATGATGATGATGATGACGATACCAATAATTGTTAGAATGAAAGGTCATCTCTCTTATTTATTTCCCCATTGATTGTTAGAGCAATACAGGAAAGCAAAATGGACTCAGACCTCCTTAACTCACAGCCTGGTCCATTAAAATGTGACATTCCTCCAATTAAATGCACCCTAGTGGTTAAGCTGCACGAAACTAGGTTTCAGTGGGAGTGGTGCAGCATTAATTAGTAAGACAGACATAAAGCAGAAGAATATATTAATATCACACACAAACCACAACTTTAGTCCCGTCCCACCTCCGGCAGCTAATTGTTCCCCCCTAAAAGCTACTCTTGAAGCAGGAACATGCTCTGTGATGTGAGATGCTATGAGCGCCCCTTCCGTGCAAACAGGCCTCTTTGGATCCCAGCCTTTGTGCCATTTTTCTAACACTGTTACCAATTAAATATATGCTATTTTATTGCTTTAATACGTGAGCCACTCTGAGAGTTCTATGCTGAAGTGTGGCATAGAAGTTTACATGACATAAAAGGTGAAGGAGGCAGTGAGGGCCCCATTCTGTGTATCACTGTGAGAAGGACATGTAAAAACACACAGTGGACAAGATCCAAAAGCCCTATTTGTACTCCCAAACGCATTTCACGGGTATGCAAGGGCTTTTCTGATTTCCTCCACAAACTGCTGTTCCTCATTAAGCTCATTACTTTTTCCTCTCTCTCCACAACTAGCTTTTAGCACGTATGATTTTGTTCTGTATTAATGCTCATTATGAGACTAAGTGGTTCAAGAAGTTTTTCACTGAAATTGAATAATGACCACTTCCTAAAAACACAATAAAATCTGCACAGGTACACGAGAAGAGTCCTGCTGGACCAGACCAAAGGCCTAACCAGAACCGATGGACCAGACACAAAATCTACATCAGATCTTTCCAAACTTGTCATGTTGGTGACACTTTTTAGACATGTCGTCTTCTTCTTTGGTGATCACTTGTAGCCATGTAAGATGGTCTTCCAGGAATATGGTCTTAACTGTGTGTCCATAAGTGACTATGAAGGCCAATTCTTGGATCCACACGTCCTTCCACAGTGGGGACATAGGTTTCCGGGCGGGAGTTGATCACAGTGTGGATTTGCCAAATGTGCCTTCCTCTTAGCTCGTTTCTCCCTTTCATCCTCAGTTCGTGCTTCTTTGAAGTCCATGATGCCTTTGGTAGAGGCTATTCTCCAATTGGAGCGCTCGCAGGCCAGTGTTTCCCAATTTCCGATGTTTATACTGCATCTTTTTTAGATTTCCCATGTAAATCTTAGCCATATATCATTTCGTGACAGAGTAATTCAGTTTTACTGGAGGTTAAACTAACCCTTTTCCAGCCCCGGGAGGAGCACTGGGAGCATTTGGGCAATGCACTAACATATTGGCCCAGTATACCTGAAGGAGCATCTCCACCCCCATCGTTCTGCCCGGACGCTGAGGTCCAGTGCCGAGGGTCTTCTGGCGATTCCCTCACTGCAAGAAGCAAAGCTACAGGGAACCAGGCAGAGGGCCTTCTCGGTAGTGGCACCTGCCCTGTGGAATGCCCTCCCATCAGATGTCAAAGAGATAAACAACTACCTGACATTTAGAAGACATCTGAAGGCAAGCTCTGTTCAGGGAAGTTTTTAATGTGTGGCATTTTAATGTATTTTTAATCTTTGTTGGAAGCCGCCCACAGTGGCTGGGGAAACCCAGCCAGATGGGCGGGTTACAAATAATAAATTGTTGTTGTTGTTGTTGTTGTTGTTGTTGTTGTTGTTGTTGTGACACACAGTTTGGAAAGCTCTGGTCTACATGCTGAACGTGAAGGCAAGAGTCCTCTGCTGCTGCTGTTCCCCTGCTTCTGATATTGGAGGGAATATATAGCTGTCATGACTAGCAGACACTAATAGCCTTACCTTCCATAAATCTGCCTATCCCCCACTTTTTTAAAAAATGTCTGAGTTAGCAGAAATCACTTCATTCTCTGGTAGTGAATCCCACTGTTGAATTATGTGCTGCAAGGAGAACTACCTCCTCTTGTTTGTCCTGAATCCATCCTCATTGGATGACCTGGGTTCTTGCTTGCTTGCTGTCCCACCTGAGGGAGCTCTGAAGCAATCTGTATGACTTTTTCTTCCAGATAGTATTTGAGAGTTCGATTAGCTGGGGTTTGCTTTTGTATGCTACATTTTTGTCTTCCAAATGAAATTAACTATGCCAAGATTTCAGAATAGGGCCAAATGCAAAAGTTAGTACGTTTGTAAACTGTAAAGGTAAAGGTACCCCGGCCATCAGATCCAATTGCGGACGACTCTTGGGTTGCACGCTCATCTCGCTCTATAGGCCGAGGGAGTCAACGTTTGTCCGCAGACAGCTTCCGGGTCATGTGGCTAGCATGACTAAGCCGCTTCTGGTGAACCAGAGCAGCGCACGGAAATGCCGTTTACCTTCCCGCTGGAACGGTACCTATTTATCTACTTGCACTTTGACGTGCTTTCAAACTGCTAGGTGGGCAGGAGCTGGGACCGAACAATGGGTGCTCACCCCGTCACAGGGATTCAAACCGCCGACCTCCTGATCGGCAAGCCCTAGGCTCAGTGGTTTAGACCACAGCGCCACCCGCGTCCCTCGTAAACTGTACTTAGGGATAAATATATGCAAGATACATTTCAGTCCTGCAGCAACCAAAATCTTCTTAATGAGCAGCACTGGGAAGATCAACTAGGCCTTTTGCTACTGTTTCGGCACCCATTGCTTCCTTTTTCAGGGTTTGAGTACTTATTCCTGCTTTTAAAAGTTCACCATACTTTGCAAAAGTTGAAGCGTTTTAAATTTATCTATACACAGTACATGCACTTGAAGCAACAATAATGTCAACTTTACTGCTCGGGCCCACCAGAGCCAAGAAGCCTGAATGCTTTGTAAATGCAGGAGCTAATTCAATCACCATGTTGGCTTAGCTCAGGGGCTCTTATAAGTCACTCATATAAATCTGGGTTGATCTGCAGTGGTTTTGTGATGCATCTGTTCGGGACATCATGCTGGCTTTGAGCCAAGATCCCAGATTATTTCACCCAATAGTTTGTTTTATCTTGTAAGCCACTGAGCGCTTCCAAAGTTATTTTAACCAAATATGACATGCTACCAGCATCAGCCTCCATTGACTCATATTTGTAATTCATTAAATTGTGGTTAATATCAGATTGGTTCCCTAAGCTGCGCTCTAGCGAGCCCTCATTCCTTTATCACAGTTTATCAAACTTAAGCATGCAATGACCATGATGAACAGCAACATGAGATGCATAAGATAGGAAAGCTTCCTAAGCTCAAAATAATACCAAACACCATTGATGTTTCAAATGAAGATGATGTCATGCAGGCACCATAATCCTCTTCTGTGTATTCAGCTAGATAATCTGATTGCATGCAATAGATGCTGAAGCACAGACACCAAGAACCTGTTTAAAAAACCTCCCGACATCAAGTA